TGCCTCTACCGTCAATGATGTTTGTCGTCGTTTCGGTCTTGGAAAATGTTTCGCATTTGTCCAACCTGATGCTTAGTTGTGTTCATAATCAACGGCGAAAGGAGTTCTACCAAAAACATTTGTACCTAGCGCAATGACTAGTGGCTCCATTTATTCGACCGTTCCCTCACGAAGAGACTGCATCTTGATGTGCTGTGCTGGCATGTGTACTTTTACGACTCAACAAGCTACACAAGATTGCTTTTATCAAGCAAGAAAATCTCTTCATACCTGTAAGGTCAAAGGTTCGAGATCAGACAAAGCTCGGTCTCCTGGTCCTCCAGGTTGGTGGTTCGACTCGACTTCATCTCTCTGTCGGTAAAATGGTAAAGTAATCGATCCCAGTAAATAAGACTCCACTTCGCTTCACCCGCTGCCTTGCGGCTAGTTTCCTGTTAGAAGTATAGGCTTTGACGAGAACCCAAATCGTTTTCCTGCTCATTGGTTGGAAACCCTGGCAGTACCCGTCCATCAAACCCTAGTGCATACATAAACTATAAATAATTCCATACTGCATCGGTCGTCTGGCAGGTATATCTGGACCGCGCCACAACTGGTCAGACACCACAATCTTTGTTTTACTCTTCATCTTCCGTACCCAATCGTCTCACTTTACTCCTTCTTCCGACTCTTAAGATTCCCTCAGACAACTTGTTCGTTACCCACCAGAGTTCATTGCCACGCAGCGCGGTAAATAGTTTACCACTAAATTCACTGCTGATACTAAAGCCTCGTTAATCACCGAATCTGTGATCTTCAACGTGCAGACTCTGATGCGGGTGGGTCAACAAGCCTGTCTTGCGTACAAGGAACGTTTTGGGATTTATGTTTGCTGAGTATCGCAGACGCGAATCCAGGATCATAGTACTATATGCAAGTTCAATGTACCCGATCTTCTTCAAGGCATCTTCAAGGATCTCCGTTAACAGTTGCTTATTTGCGACGCGACTCCAGGGGTCAATCAGCTACCGGTAGGAAAGCAACACCAAAAGGTGTTTGTTCATCATTTCGGTGTATGCACTCACCAACTGCAGTTCTGACGCACAAAAAATGATTTCTACGACTAACCCACCTAATTCATTCGGTTGAGCCAGTGCTCCGATATAGTTGTACTTGCAAGGTATTTTAACGGCGATTGACTTCCTCAGTTTTGCGCAGGTCACCATCTGTCTCCATCTGGTTCAAACTTCCGACAGCTCTCAACAGACGGCAACGTGGTGCTCCAGTTCAACTGGGACGCTGGCTCAAGTAACCTACCATTGGCGTGGATCAGTACAAAACTATCGGCCCTGTTGGACCACGTGCATTGAATCTGATGCAGTTCCCTCTCCGACTCACTCGCGGAAAACCCCACCAGACTCGGTTGGCAGATCATCACTTATATGACTCAGTCCTTCGTGCTCGTTTTGAATCAAAACTAAGGCAAGAGTTAAAGGCGTTGCAGCTCGGTAATGTAGATGAACAAAGAGATCAGATTGGGCGAGCAATGTACACCGCGGCGAGGGTTTCTTGTGAATCTGTAACGTTTGTCCGAGGCGTTGGATATCTCACGAGTCAGTATCTTTCATGGAGAAATACGATGCATGTTTGGGTATCCCCGAATTCCGTTCTAAAACTAGATAGTCGGGAGTAAGCCAAAGTTGACTACCTCTGGTACTTGGGTAGCTGCGTGACCAACTACGGTAGCTCATCAAAAGAGATAACCGCCCGCATTTCCAAGGCTCAAGCAGCGCACGCACGACCAAAACACCGTTGGCGACGACGTGTCGTTTCACCGAAATGGAAAAGCGTATACTATGCCGTTGTATCATCAGTTCTGGTTTACGCCTGTGATACCTTGAATTTGTGGGTAGAACACATCCGTCTCCTAGTTGTTTTTGACAATTGATGCTTGCGTAGTTTGGCCCAGTTGGAATGGAATGCGCGGGTTAGTAACCTAGCTGTTAGCCGTCATGTGTTTGGGAACGCATCGAACACGAACTGGCTAGCATATCGAATTCAATGCAATAGGCTCCCAGTTGGTTAGGGCACGTTTCGAGTCGCCTATCGCACCGTGCCTTATTTTCAGTGATTGCTGCAGACTGGAGAAGGCCACGTGGAGGCCAGCGTATGATGTGGAAACGAGGCATGATAAAATACACTGAGCGATTAGGTGAAGTAAGTGTCTCTTGTCTTCCGGATTGGGGTCCAAATGACTCCGTACCGCATGGTTGGAGACACTGAGGGTCATAACAGCACACCGACAGCAGTGGTGATCTTGTTGTCACTTCTGACCAGAATGCTTGGAACAGTATGTATGCATAGTTGAACTGTGTACTCTATGATAACCGTAGATGTTCGCTTTCTTTTCCCGTCGCTAAAAGTAGGCTTAATATCTATCCCCTCCTATATTCTCACTTAACTTCTATGCATTATGATTATTGTACCATGATTTGTTTGGCACAGTCTGGCGCTACACGTGATATATATATATATATATATATATATATATATATCAATTTCAGTTTATANAACCATTAACCATGCAGTTTCGTGCGCCGGTGTTGGTTGCGATCTTTCGGTTGCCCATTTGGATGAACATTAGGAGAAAGACAGGAAAGATTGAAAGTAGGATCGAAGAGAAAACTGAAAAGTTCAGTGGATTAATGATACAGAGAAATTGGGAAGATGCACGAACGCCACTGTTTACGACGCTCAGCCATATCGTCCGGTTGCCCCACCAGATTCGTGCAATGCGGCATGGACAGCGATGTTCAACCACCGACGGTCTATCTTTATCCTGTTTCCTTAATGACCAAGTTTCTGCTCCATATATATATAAATATATATATATATATATAATTATATATATATATATATATTCAATGGACTGTCTCTGAAAGATCTGTTTATCCAAAAGTCACTCGGCGTTTCAAACAAGGTTATTTCGACAAAAATACACTTCCAGGGTACAAGTATATGAATGAACTGACAAAAGATTACCGGATACGCATGCCTGACGTGCGGCAAGAACCGCGAAACCAGTCTTGTGCTTCCAAGGAAATTTTGTCCAGTCATTCTGGTACTACTGATTATGAAATATAGATATATATGTGTATATATACCGCGCTTGTTCTTTACAGGACTAGAATAAATTTCCGGATGAATACGGTCTTACTTGATTAGCGAGGGTGAAAAAGCTCATTCTGCCATTGATTTGACACCTACCGTATGGTGGAGATGTAATATGGTTAGGAGAATTGTCAGACGTTCAGTTCCAGTTTTCAGTTTGGACAACCATTAACCATGCACTTTCGTGCGCCGGTTTTGGTTGCTGTCTTTTGTTACTTTCGCTCGAAATCTGGTGCATCTCACTTTCTTCTTTGTCACGATGCGCGATCAAATCTCGTCGTGTAAGTATAACTCTGAGTGATCCCGACTAGGCTGCCTCGCATGGTAGGGATGGAAAAATGGGTGAAGGTAGCTTGATAATGCTCTGAGGTAAAACCAAATCTAATGGGCATTTCATCTCTCGTAGATACAATTGGACCAGTCTCTCTATCTCTCCTAAGGCGCATTACAGCCTGTGTAAAGTTGCTATGAGTCATATTCGTATACGGGTAATTTCAAGAAATGAGCAAACATCTGAAGCCGATAGTTATTATGTGATACAATTTCAAACTTTTTCGCCTCGGCAAACACGTCATGGGTGCTGGATTGCGATCAAAGGAAGGTTGCAGTGATCGGAACCATCAGAATTCTAGCGATAGACAACAATCTACTCAGCCATTAAATGGGCGTGAGCGGTTGCTAAAATCGCACGCACTGTCTTCCATCCTAGCAACGATCAGTGGCAAATTTTAAGGTCGGAGACAAAGGAGTGTGATCAAATAATTTCTACGGCTACTGACTATCGTGCCTCAGTGCCACACATGCGCGACATTTCCCAGACGGACAGGTTGCAGCCCAGAAAATGTGGCGCTATATGATGGATCATGTCTTGAGNNNNGTCTTGAGTTGGTTTGAATGGTCCAGGGTATAATGTACCACTGTTAAAATTTGGAACGGAGTGTAAACTGATGTTCGAACTGATTCACTAGGGCTATGCTACGGCCAAAGTGCGCGCACACCATTCATGCAAAAGTGTGTAGCTCGACTGCAACAAATCCGCTCGCAGGATTCTCTCTTTTACTTTCGTAGTGAAATATTTTGAACAATTCTATTTGATCAAAGAAACGGTCCCTTTCGGTACTGGACCGATAACGGATACAGTTTGTTACACCACTAACCACCTCTTCAGTCTTTGAATAGTCGTAGTGCCCCAAGATGCCAAAAGCAACATTTCTGTATGGTTAAGTATATTTGTATTCTGGTGCGAATGTGTACTAACTTATTTAGACAACCGCACTTTTGACACATGTCTCCATTGCATAAGTGACACATTCATTGCTTTTGTAATCGCTCCATCTTTTACCTCAGTCGAACCAATTGGCCCCACACAACGGACAAATTGTAGTTTGATTGGATGAAACAAATTACTACTGCTATTATGCCACGGTTGTAAAGTGATACATTCGTGGATTAGATGACATGAAAAGGCACTATTTGTGAGAGACATAAATCGGTTTCGTGACTGTTACAAAATGCATGGTCATCTGAACTGTGTATCTTTTTGGTCCATTTTTCTGTCAACACTGTTTCAATTTGTCGCTCTGTTTAACCTTGCTATTGATTACGTCTGCAGTATAAACCAATCGGTTTAGATTGTAAAAACTTTATTTAGACCGTGTATTACACAGTATGCACATCACCCGGATGCTGCGAACAGATTTCTAACTGCCTAACACTCCCGTTTCATTTTTAGTGACCCCTTCTTTCCGCCATTTACTCTGTCAATTAAACTGCAGTCACTGAAATTTGAGGTAAAATAGAAAATCAGTCCAGGATTTTTAAATATGAGATGTGGTACTGTTTTTTTCTATCATTCAGTCTGCCTCTTTGCCCTCTGGTGAGGCGGAAATTAGCAAACCGAATACGGCCAGTTCAAGTGCGAAACAGACCAGTGCAAACGTTCCCCCGAGCCCGAATTCAGACACTCCCAACGCAGCTCTCCAGACGAACAGAAACGTGTCCAGTCCGGAACCGACCGTTGCCCAGTCTTCTAATCATACGTTGTCAACCGAATCGCCCAGTAAACGAACAGTCAGTCAATCAACCACCGCTAATACGGTGACTCGCCCGATCCCGCTCAAAAGCAGTCCAGTCACGGATGGGCCAGCGGATTACCAACGCCACCACAGCCTTCCGGGTACCACAACGATTACAACACCGATTTTGGACGGCCGTTCTGTGGTCCCTTGGAAACCCACTAGTCGAGATTTAATCCCACCCACTGACCCCGATCCCAATGTACGAGCTGCGGTTGCTGCCGCATTGTCCCAATCGGTCGCCTATTCCGATGATAGCCCGCAATGGGTACCACCAAAACACACTAACCCTACGCACAATGTGCTCGCTCCGACTTCGGAATACGTGGGCACAGTACCGCCAAATGCGGAGTATGCATATGAAAGCGATCGAATAGTGTCGGAAGTTCAGACCACACCGCGACATACCGCAACTGCGGTTAGTCGTCCAACCTGCCTGACCACACAGACCGGATCCGTGGACCAGCATCAGGTCGATCGTATCAGGCAACCTAACAGACGTTTCGTATCAGAAAGCTCTTCATCCAGTCGACGAGAATCAGGGCGTCGCAATCGTACAACATCAGATATGGATGCTCTACATCTATTAGCTGAGATGGGACACCGCGGAATGGGGCAGCAATTGCTGGATGGGAGTCGGTCATCTGATGTGGGTGGGACCAATCCACACACTGTTTCACCGACCGAGGCTGAGTGGTGGCGAGCACAACAACGGTCAGGTTTGTTACCCTACGGTAAGTGTGAATTCTCGTTCCGCTAATTTTGGATTTTTATTTTTCCACGTTCCCTTTGGAAAAAGACGGTAACTATTGATGAAATCCGTGACTTAGTCCTCCCGGGTAAAAACAATCTATTTTACCTGACAGATCATTTGATTGCAAGATGTTTTGCATGTCTTATCGGCACTGTGGAGAGATCAAAGCTTGTTTTCGTGTAAATGCTCTTTGGTTTGTGATGGAATAAAGTTACGAATAATAACCAACAGCTGCTCTTACAGTTCAGAACCAGAGGTCAATATGAATCGATTGAGATTGGTACTAACTTAGATCATTTCACATGATCCTATCCTCCGTCTCTCATAAACATGAGATGGTGTTGACGTCCCTCAGACCCGGAACAATACCTGATTGGCATATCCCGTTCATGATGTTAGTTAACCATTGCCAGTTTCACGCAATCAACCCTGAGAGAATCCGTTTCTTTTCCTGACTGCTCGTGATGGATGAAACCAAGTAAATTGTTACGAGCTGAAACCAAAGTGTTAGCGCCCCTTCTCAATCGCTGGATACTGATATTTCCACAATCATTCCCACCCGGATGCATCCACCCGTGTTGCTCGAGGAGGAAGAAGAGACAATTTTTAACACTTGATTGCTTATCGCATTTTATCAATCTCCTCACTGATGCATCCACCTTAGAATGGGAATGGTATGCACCGCTTCGTTCCCACCCACTCCTCCTTGCAAACATGCGCTCGCACACCCACACATTCGCTCGTTGTCTGTTGTCTCCCAAATTTTGTCGGTTTGTATGAACCAATTCCCTGTTTGATGTGTGGTGGTTCATCAATAATGTTGACCTAACTCAACCGGTTAAAATCTGTTCCAATTTATTCGATATACGTATGTGTGTATATGTTAGTGCATCAGGGGTGTGCTTATCTAACAGCCATGTATCCTACACAATTGAATCGCCTCATTCAATCATGTGGGACACTGTCTTGCAAGCGTCTTGAACATGGTGCATCTCATTGATCACGCAGCTCTTCATATCTCTAAACAATACTTTGATCTATTCCGCTTCACCTGGTTTATGAACGAGGTTTTTCCGTAGGTCGGAATAAAGTGTTCATAATCAACTAACTTCATCCAGATGGAATGTTTTATAACTGTCTCAGTTTTTCCTAATAGTCTGTAAACACTGGGGAAGAATCCCCACTATGAATAATAATCTGGTGTCCTTGGTATGTGATTAGTTAGTTGATCGAATGTAAGTGTAGGCCAGGGTTAAACTCGAAGTGCACAAATTTATTTACACAGTCATTATATGCTTAATCTAATTGGCTTGCTTTTTTCTGAACCATCGCGGATTGTTGTGGAATATCACCGATTTGACGTGAACAAACAGAATTGGATTTATTTGATCTTTTGCACTCCGAGTTCGAACTTTCCAAGAGCTGAATCAGGAATGTTACTCATAGCTTTCGAAGAATCCTGATTGCAGGCTACAAGTCGTCGTGTTCTGTTCTTCTTCGCAGATAAGTACAGAACGGATTCCCGGTCGCTCAACCACACACAGCCTTACCATCACATGTTCAATCCAGTTGGACGACCAACGAAATGCTGTCAGTTATCTACCAGCTGACGTTTCATACACTTCGTTCGTCTCTTCTTTCAGTCTCTTCTTTTAGTCATATTCTGACGATGCCTAACCGATCATCACAAAACCGTATCTTATTTACCACAATTTGCCGATCTCTTTGATGTTGTATGATTGTATGTCAACTTCGGATCGAGCGTGCGATTGAGAGGCGGAAGGATAAAACCAGACAGAGATCTGTTCGCGTTTATCTGTGCCATCGATCGGACTGGACATGAGGCTGTACGCTTGACCACACGTACCTCTTAACTGCATCGGACCGTTTGCGTTTCTCTCATTGTCCGCCTCTGCATGTGCATTCCCAAGCGATACCGAAGCATAGTCTATCGTTGTTGTGTCGGAAGTGACATTCATGTCCCCCCTATACATTGTTGGGAAACCGAATTACGTAGACATCCATAGAAATCAAATTTTAAAAAAATCACGAATCAATTCAATTGTATCGCGCTATTTTACTCGTCACGCACTCACAAGAAAGACCGTCCATATTGCTGGTTTTACTTTCCGATTGATCAAGGCTAAACGATGTGCCGGTCGCACTAATCATTATCATTTTCTTCTGTTTTGCTTGATACGCAACAATTGAGCGTGTAAAGTTGCAGGAAATTTTCAGATGTTAGTTCTGAGTCCTTTGGTTCGTTCACGTGTTAGTTCTACACACGGAATACTGGTTGACCGTGTACCTGTGGGTGTTTCTATTTGTGTTTACTTTTGTCCATTCACCTAACGCGTTCACTCACTCACGAAATTGACTTGACTTACTTCAGCGCTCTTCTTGGGTATGATAATCCGTCTTAGTGGTCGTCTTTGGTCCATGCTATCCATTCCGAGTTGTTGGCTGCGAGGTTGTTACATTTGTGCCATCTTTAAATAGAGCTGGGATAAGGCCATCGAAGACCGGTGCTTCTTGACTTCCCGAGGTTTGGATCTCCTTACGGATNCGGAATAGCTGTGTGTGAATATGACGCCAGGGGTCAGCTAAATTGTGCCTTGAAGTAGGTTTTTCTGTTTCATCTTTCACAATAACCATTAACCAAGTAACTTCGTGCGGCGGTTTTGGTTGCTTTCTCATGGCTGCTTATCTGGATAAACGT